CCCGTTATATAAATTAACATCTCCCCAACGCAAAAAAATACATCTTGAAAATATACCGAGTAGATGTGTTGCCAAAGGCTACGGTAACACGTATAAAGATGGGACAAGCCTGCATAAGTATCCAACCAAAGCGGAATTTAGACATCGAAAGTCAGACTGACCAGAGCCAAATGGTCAGGACCGACAAGCTCCAAACTGTGCAGTGGGCATTTCTAGCCACTTTGTTTTCTTCCGAACATAGGACTCGTTTGAGATTTCATGAACTTTCATGAAACGCGAACGGCCAACTGTATGAAATGCTTCCCAATCGGACCGTTCTATTCCACTCAATCTACTTGTGTGTAATAATTGGTTTCGTTTGTAAATAACACAGACGGTCCGCAAGAAAACGACACCGAGACATTCGCGGAAGAAACGCTACGCTACGCCATTCCACCAAAAAAATATACAAAATGGCCGTCGAAACTTGGAAAATGTTCGCCAAAGAAATGCCTTTTTAAGTGACAATGTTGCCTCTTGAAGCCAAACTGATACTCCAGTTTTATGTGATTTGTTAATGGTCAGCTATTATGTTGACGATTGGGGCTGCATATTCTAGTAGCAGGGACAAAATGGGCAAAATGTGAACTGTGGGAGAAACATCGTTGAACGCCCGTTATTCCTGCGTGCGTGTTTGTATAGGCCTTCTCAGCGACTCAACGCAGACAGTCGGCAAAGTTGAACTGGGCTCAACTTTGTCGATCCGTCTGGGGCTGGTTTGCGTTATGCGTGGGTTATCGGCGATACCTCCGTTTAACATGTTTCCATAATGTCTAGGTTGCAGTTTGCGTCTTGATCGCGTTGCTCTCTGCGTTTCTTTTACGTTGATACGGAAACCAGGCTGTACACCAGCACGTTATGCGGTGACCGTGTGCGCATACTTTTACCGTGTGCGCGGGCATCGTTTTTGTGGACATGTACATGTACATGTACATGCACCTATGCATGTATGCACGTCGGTGTAAGGGAAAAACCCGGAAGTAAAATTAATCCCTATTCCGTTTTAATGCTGGAACTAAAACATTTTCTTAATCTGTAATCTATGATCTCCCTTTAGGTTATAAGATCCTTTCCTGTAGGCTTACACTAAGGGATTTTATACTTGTTATCTCGTTTGGATAGCATTTTTGAAACCTCGGTTAATAATGATTTGCTACCAGCTTTTTATTCGTCAGTCCTCTTTTATCATCTCCCCTTCTCTGTCTCCTCCCCCTCCTCTCTCTCTCCCAACAGTCTCCCTCCCCACCCGTTCCCCCTTAGACAGCCCCCCCACCTTTGTCCTTTGCTACCTCACCTTGTCGATATCTCATGATTCTCCTTTGCTACCATTTCCCTTTTGCTATTCATACTCGTTACATTTTCACCCTCGTGTAAGGGTCGGAGAGACACCCCCCCACTGCCTTGCTGCTGCACATTAATTAAGTTCATTCTCGTTTTCTGCCCCATATTAACTGTGTCCTGCATTACTTTCCGAGTGATTGTGTCGTTCCCTGGTTTTATACAATCGATATTTCATATTATTATTTTGTTTTTACAGATGTCTTATTCATTCACGCCGATTTATGTAACAAAAAACTCTCCTGCTGCAGTTTTTTATACACAAAAAGAACACAATTTGTATCCTGCAAAGCCAACTTTGGCCGCTTAAAAAGATTCACCAACTAAAATGTAGTGATCAAGTTCCATATTGTCTATTCTGCTACCGGCCGATTCATATATACGCTTATGCCAGAGCATCTAAGACAAGCACATTGTACACTTTACACAATAAACTCTGTTTCTTTCGCAACATGTTTCATCCAATGAAGACTGGGGATAAATTTCTCAACGGCACAGTTGTCTTGCACGGAAATTTCAAGTGTGTGGATACGGCCACGATGCACACACGTGCTATCGAGTAACCAAGTTGTTTTGGTTTACGAATTTTTGACACGTTTATTAAAACATGTTGTGCATATGTTATACGCTTTCATGTCAGGGTGAGGTACGTGGATTTAAGGTTTGACAATTACTATTAACACAGAAAAATATTTAGATACCTAAGGAACACTGGTCTGTTTTTATCGTCTGCCAAATGGTGCATCATGTTAGCTTTGCAGAAAAATCGAATGTCAACCGTAAAAGACTATTTTCGTGTTCATATCACTGCACTACTAAATGAAATGGGCCTATGGTCATATCATACTACATCATTCTCCAACATCCCAGCAGAAACGTATTATATAACACTATTCATCGGAAAACTAATGAGCTTTTAAATACTTGATTAACAGATACCTCTGAAATTTACATTTCTTTAATGTTTAGTGGGCATGTAACAGACCACGATCTCAGAAAATCACGTTTTACAAACAGAAATTTACAAACGACTGGTATGATATCGTTTTTGCCTAGAGGACAAGGACAAATGTTAGTGCATCGCCTTCAACAACAGTCAGTGACATCAAAAACCAGTTTATGCGGGTTGATTCCACTTCAATATGCCAAGGGAATGGACTTTGAAGCAAACCGTATGGATCGAAATTTTCGAAAGCACTAACCTACCCGCAAGCAAGCATAGCTCAAATCAGGCAGAATGAGTTTTTCGGGGCCGGTCAAAAGGATGACAATTTTCTGGACGATAATTTCCCAAAAGATTTGTCGAGTAGGTCAAGTAAAATTAGCCGAAATTTAAATTTCACTTTCGAAATTCAAAAATGATCAAGCATTTTGCGAGTGTGATCATAAACATTCAAAATAAGACACGAATTCAAAAACTGGTGATGACGAATCATCCTGACAGAGAGTCGTCTTGGGATCTGAACAAACGGCAATAAAGATTCAAATTTATTAATGTATAGTCTACTCTAGACAGCCGATATAAAACAAATTCCTTTCAGATTGTTATAAATTTCAGTAATCACTCGTCTTCAAAACATATATCACTTGATAAAATTTACAGTGATAAAGCTATAATAAAATACTTCTCGATATCAAATAAAGAACCTGTTATCTGGTCTGAATTAATAATTTCCAGCATAATGAGATGCGAACATATTATATATAAAATTACTCTTCGCGTTTTAAACTTTGTATTTAAAGTCAACGCTAACACGTTTTAATGTGTGTTTAATTTTTTGAGAAACTTTATTTCTCAATTTTTTTTTATCTCGCCTTTTTCTTTTGGACCGCTGAAAACCTGTCTCCGGTGATATTGAAGCCAAACCCATTTTTGTATGTAGGCCTATAGCCAGTCACCATTGCGTCTACAAACCAATCCTTTCGTGACTATAAATGACTATTCTTGCTCCGTAAGGATACATGTAAGTAGACCCTTTGTTCATTTATTTGTTGTGTATAATAGTTTATTAGCAGGGGACCAAAAATCTTAGAAATCATTTTCCACGGCTGTATTTTGCTTCAAGAAATCACCACGTCACAGGATTCGTCCATCCGCCTTGAGCATAAAAACCATATGTTGAAAAGAGCCAGGTTGGTGGGGAGTATTCATTTTGTTGGGAGCGCCAGCGACGCGACCGTAACGTATGCATTGCGTAGTCATTTGTGAACCAGTGAGGTGTAGTTCCCACCACAGAAGCCTGTTGCTAGGAAAATTGCACCCTTGCTCTCTAGGTCCAGCTTGGGGCTCTCAGGGGTTTAGCTCACATTCATTGTGCCGTTTCTTCCAGCCTTTTATTGCGAGATGAAAATGTTTAGTTAGTGCTCCTGAACATGATCAAACCGTTGTTTCTAATACTGTGTCCGAATAACCCGAGGAGCTGCCGCCTGCATCATTCTTTTCGATGATCCGATAAGACACTCCAACCACGCCCTGTTTCCACGATTCCTTCCCCAAGGCATCCATCACACCGACAGGGTCCAAGACGTCGTGCCGGTGCGCCGACGAGAGGAAAGTGTGTCTGTCGGAATGGGGACCCAGGTTGAATGTGCGGCTCCGAAGACCACGTGTTGTGCTGCGGATTCTGGCCTTGGCGCGGTTGAGATTCTTCCTCTGCGAGTGCCAGACCCCCTTGAAGACGATGGAGATCAAGCTTAGGCCGAGGAAAAAGTACACCAAGATGCCCAGTTTGTAGCTCCAGTCCAGGGCGTAGGAGTCGCCTTCCCTCTCCAGGCCGTAGATGACGTCCCCAAAGCCGATGGTGCTGAGCGAGACGAAGCAGAAGTACTGAGCGCGCCACCATTCCCAGGGCTCTGTATGGGTGAAGATGACGGAAGGTAGGAGAACCAGAAGGATCCACAGTCCCATGAGGGTGATTGCACCCAGAAGAAACCGTCGGGCATTCTTTGACCTGATCACCTCTAAGCACTTATCAGAGCACCGGGTAAACCTTTTCCAGAGCGCGTTGAAAGTGTCGCCCACCATGGAGAAGACGACGTAGCACAGCGGTACCCCAAGAACTGCAAAGAACAGGCAGAAAACCTGCCCACCAACAGTTTTGGGTGCCAATCTACCATAGCCTGCCAGGAGAAAAAACTCACGTTGTAAAACGTCGAGGAATCTACTACAGTTGAAACACAGCAACATTTATAACATTTTAGTGGGAATATGGGAACGTCTTCAGTCTGATTCACAATTGGCTAGCAGCAACGCAAAACCGTGACGTCAGATCGACTACTCGTGCTTCTAAATCACAAAAGCTAACACATTTCGACTCAAGCAAAATTCTCCGCAAATATTCCGTAATGTCGAATTGCTTCTCTTCGACCCCGAACCCGAAGTTTGAACTAGCCTTTACTGGTTACCGTACCATAGCTACGGTTGTCACTTTTTTTTTTTAAGAAAGGATAACGTCTCTTCGCGGCAAGCATGCAATGGGTCCAAATAACCGCAGATAAATAAAACTGATTACGATCTGATTAAGATTCACGTTTACCGTGAATAGACGTGTCGTCCACATCATAATGTGTTTTTATTCATCTCGGGAATTAAAAGCGTTGGGGAAGTTTCTTTTATGACAAATCAAATGACGCTCCCTCCCTGCAAGTAAAATCTTAACACATGCAGCTGAGGTTTTCAGTTTATAAAGTGCATACTAGATAAAGATCACGTCGGTATCACATGCTGTTAATATGTTTGTGTTTCGTCCTCTTTCGGCCAAGGTCATTCATCGATGAAATTTGTATTTGCTAAATTCGTTTTTAACAAAGATAACGCTTTAGCAGTACTCACCAATAGTTGTGACAACGCTAGATGCAAAAAGAATGGAATTCGGCCATGACCAGACCGCAAGTAGCTCGTTGTGACTGCTGGCCATCTCCGAATAGAATGCTCCCCTCGAATACGCAACTCCTGCCTTCTCCATCAACGCTATCACCTCGTCTGGTGTCGCACCGCAGGCATAGTGGCTCTGAACGAAGGCGCCCAGCTCGCCGAAGAACTTTTCCTGGGCCCGGGTTACCTCATCCCTTTCTATCAGAATAATGACGAAGGCACCGGCGAACAAGTAGGCCAAGAAGGCGGCGAGGAGTAGCAGGCACTTCTTCCAGGGTTTCATGATCACGACGAATCAAGGCCTTGTCGTTCGTGCGTGCGAGTGATTGATCATTGTCGAGATCAGAGTAATAAAATGTGATTCTTTCCTTTCTGTCCTTGCGCTTGAGAGGCCCAATTGAGTGAGAGTTTAGGATTTGATTAAAATAAAACCATTTTTCTCAAGTGCCATTATATATATACCTGCCCCACAGAAAAACTGAGCTACATGCATATATCCATTGTACAATGCTGCAGTTTCTTCTTGCAAAAAGGAAAGACAAAAAAATGCGGGTTGAGAGGAATGGTATAACAAGGTCATCTTGATTGGAAGTGTTTCGAAGGGTAGCTTGCAAAGCGTTCACGACACACCTGTCTCAGTCAACCTCACTTTCAATTTGTGTTTCACTATGTCAAACGGTATTTTCCTTCCTTTTTGATTTATATGTTAATACATATTTCTGTTGCCCACATTCATGAGCAAAACTGTGATGTCACCCAGGGATCCGAAACCTCGATATTACATCGCTTTGTACACAAAAAATTCTGCTCGTATATGACTTTTGTCAGACTAAATTTTGTCTGTTATTATTTTTGTCTACTGTTTTATATTACGTACTTATCACTAAGCTAGCAATCAACAAATCTCTTCTGAGACACGTTTCCAGTGAGTAAATTCTGGTTTACAATTTGAGGAGAAATCTTACACAAATCTTCCCTGGATGACATCAAAACAGCGCCCTCAGTTGTTCAGGAAATGCACAGATAATTTTAAATATATTAAAAAGTGCAATGTCTAGTGCATTTACCCTAAATTGGGATGAACGTAGTTTTCACACATTGAACAGGAACATACAGTTTCAAAAAAGCTTCGAAGAAAATTCACTGCAGAAAATACGTCTTAATTAATACAAAAAGTAGCACTCAGTCCACATCACCGCTGAAAAATAGACCGTTTGTTTCACCAGTCGTCTAACACCATCTTTTAATGGCGCTGCTGCTCTTTCAAAGCCAACTTTATCGGACAAAAAACAGTGCTTTGCCATTCTGTGCGGTATTAATGAAAATTATTACACTTTTGAATAAGGGCGCCTAAGTTACTTTAATATGGGGAAAAGGAAACTTATATTGCAAAGTACTGCAGCTAGAAGAGGGCCCGGGACATCTTTGGAACGAGAACATTTTTAGACTATTACACTGAAATAAAAAGGGCATCGAAGAAAACAAACAGGCAACCCAGTGCCCCCCCTCCCCCCAGTTGTTGAGTGGGGCTTAACGGATAGGCCTTTTTATGGACGACTCACAATTGCCCCCTCCCTTGAAAAGTATTGTTCTGCCGCCGTTCAATGCAAAAGGCACTTGGTACACAATATTGGGGGAGGGGGTTCCCCCTATACCCGCCCTACATGATATGCCACTGGATACTTAACGTGTGCCGCACTCACTGAGTGCAGATAAAGCATGACAGGCAGGCATGAACTTTCATATAATGAAGTCAGGGCCGACGGGGCGAAGATGCTTCGTCGATCCCCTCAAAGTTGACAGGTGTAATGACGTCGTTATTTTGCCGTTAGGGTTGACAGAGAGATTTGAGTATTGTACTGATATGATTCCACCAGGTTGGGAGAATGCTGAGTCTGATCCCAAAGTCCCTTTTGTATTCGTCATTTGTCACGTGTTTGTAGCTGTCATTTCTCTGCCACCACTGTGCCATTATCACGGCAATCTCCGCCACTTTCAAAAATAAATTCCTGGATAAAATATCTTTTTGAACGAAGAACAATTGCCCAATTTATGGGGTCTGATATCCTTCGTGTAAACAAAATGAAAACGCACACTGTATAGTTACATTCGCTTTGTCAATACATAAAGCTGTCAGAAATTATCTCAACCGAAACCATTGACCTCCATTTTGTGTCACAACACCCATCTTTGGATGAATTGATGAGGTTGAATATCACTGCACAGAGACAACTCATGAAGGGTATATACTCTCAACTTGACTGTCTACCATTGCAAACCAGAGCATAAAGGAACCCGCATATTTTGAGAAATGTAATGGTTCTGTGATCGGGTCTTCGGCTTCTATGCGATATGTATGTAATGTGTTCAGTCCAAAACTATTCACAAGCACGAGATTTTCTTTTTTTTTTTAGTTAGACCGTTTTATCAGCTGGATACGTATTAACATTCCATTTAACTCTCCCACTGAAAGCTGTCAAAATGAAGGCTTGGTTGAAATCGCTGATACTGATTCCAATATTCATCGTGTACATCTTTCTGGGGGCGTATGTTTTTCACAAACTCGAGGAGGGGAACGCGGCCGCTGAGCGGGAGGAGTTTTTCAAGTTCCTGATACCTTTTGCGATCAACCACTCAGACTGTCTATCGAGTGACGCTCTGCTCTCTGTCCTGGACCGGGCTTCGGAAGCCAGGGCCAAGGGTGTGATGTACCCCTCCCAGGTGTTGGCCGGGCAGTTGGTTGGCTTTTGGAGTTGGTCTAATGCCGTCGTGTTTGCGGCGACCATCGTTACAACCGTAGGTAAGATGTTGATATCACTGCTTCAGGTCTGTTCAACAGGTTGGTGGGCTCTTTTGAATGTTGGCCGAGCTCGTGGGCGTCGTGGGATTTTTTTCCTGGGGGGGAGCACGAATCGGCTTAGTACTGAGAGTTTACAGCGGGAAAGGGTTAATTTGATTATTTTTAATCGGTCATTACAGATTCCTTTCATTTTTTGTTTCATTTCTTCCGGTCTCCCCCCTTTTTTCCGCTGTTTGTAGGGGAACCCCCTGCCCATTTCCAACCCTCCACGGCCAAGCTATCATGTCGCCGTGCTGTCGCTATAAAGTACCGTTTGTCGTTTTTTTCTTCTCTTCCCACTTGATTAAAACATTTTCTTTACAAACGAATGGGGAAATTCAACATTCATATAAATACATTGAAAGAAAGACAGAGGTCTTATTAGCCATGCCCGAGGCGGTCTCAGCGCTTTATGTCGTATAGGGAGATTATCAGGCCTCACGCACGGGACCCACGGCAAACGCGCCATTGTGTACCATCACGTACGGCGCTCCAACCCTCGTACGGTGCAAGTACTGCAATACGGCAGACCAGACCAAGCTACGCGTACACACACAACGAACATTTTGGAATTCATGTACCAGCGTGGCCCAATGCATTCATGTAACGGGTCCACGCACCTCATGAGTAGTAGGCTACGCATACGCCAGATTCGCCCAACTCCAAGTGGTGGCCCTGTGACGTGTGTTTCAGTCGTAGACTGGAGGTAGAATGTTCCCTTCCTGAAGTAATTGTCTCAAGTTTTGGTGGTTGAGATGTTTTTTCTTCATGTTGGTGGTTGTAACCGCAAATTCATTTATCTTGTAAAATCAGCACATAAGCCTATTCTTATAATGATCGCCATAGGCCTACATGTTGGTCATATAGGACCAGAATCACGAGATACTTAAATCCAGATATTTGAAAGTGGGTTTTGTTTATCTCTTCACAAAACACAGGGTATGGAAGGCTTGTGCCCATAACAGCCGTCGGTCAGATTGTCTGTATCTTCTATGCTATCTTCGGTATCCCTCTATGCTACAAAATGCTGTCAGTGGTCGGTGATACCTTCCACAGTCTCTGGCATCACTCTTTCCGACTGTTCGACCGGGCTGCCGCCTGCGTGAAATCTCAGCGCACCCGCAAAGTATTGGGGGTGCTGGTAACCTGTCTGGTTCTCTGGATTTTCTTGGTCATGATTCCGGCCGTCATCTTTGCCAACACGGAATCATGGTCATTGGTGGACGCCCAATACTTCAGCTTCGTGTCTCTCAGCACCATCGGCTTCGGAGACATCATCTACGGGATGGAAGACCGGCTGGCCACAGTCAAGCAGGACTGGCTGTACAAGATCGGCATGCTGGTCTACTTTCTGATCGGCCTCAGCGTGATTTCTATCGTCTTCAAGGGGGTATGGCGCGTTCAGAAGGCGCGCATCAAACGCGCCCAGAAGACTACTCGCCAGTTTTGGCAGAACCGGGGCGGTCGGCACCGCAACTACTCGCTGGGAACTCCCGAGGCCATAGACGAGGCCCTGCTGGCGAACGGCTTGTTTACGCGCAAGCGAAGCGGCGACGTGGTCGAGCCTGTCTTCGAGAAGCACTCCGCTGGAGACGATGAGGAGATTGATAAGACAATGGCCATGGATGCCATGGAGGTGAGAGACAGGAAAATTTCCATAATCTCCCTGTCATACCGGACTGTCTCGCTGAGACAAAACTTGGCTGATCGAGACTTGCGTCATGGGTTGTGCAATACTTCGTTCCTAGAAGAAGTCCACCCGTGATGTGACCACCTGACTCCACGTAGAACAAGAAAAAAACATTGCCAAGAAATCAACCTTTGAATGACTAAAAGTCAATTTAATTTGTTACTTTCATTGTTCCTCAAGAAGCACCAGTGCCAGAGAGCACACTTGAAAACGAAATCCCATCATTGTAAGCACTTCCTTTACATTGTAATTTTAAAGAATTCGAAATAGAGGACATAAAGAATTTGCCTTCTAAAGTCGATATATTTTTGTCTCAAGGACAAACGTTAGGCCTACAAGTGAAATAACTTCGGTTTTCAGATGTAATTCTATTTTTGTTACTTGCGTCTTTTGAGAAGATCTAGTTAGAAAAGGTAATGAAAAAGTTTTTGTGAGGCATTTTCAAATATCGATGGCATATAGTTAGGATCATTTTACAGTCTAAAATGCACTTTTTGACTCATTGCCCAATCACAAATAATGAGGAGACATGTTTATTTTCACTCACTTTCAAAACTAAGAAAAGTTTTGTGAAGCTATGTGAATTGTCACTTTGTTGTTGTACCTTATCATTAAAAAAGCGACAGGTCGACGTAACAGTCGCATCATTTGTTTGCATTCTTTAAAATAAAGTGGAAAGTTAAATTAGGAATGCGTCTTTTGTTTTGTTTCTAAGAAAATGACTTTAAACAAATTTCACGAATTTCAAAATATGTCTCGCGTGTCTGCTGCATTAATTATATCACGTGACTGACACTTTTATGTGAGATTTTGAATACTCTAATAACGTTTCAATTTTGGACGCATCAGTCCCTAAATATCCACTTATCTCAGAATGCGCTGAATAGTATTGGAGTAGAAAGAAACTAGCCATGGAGATCTCCCAATTTTCACATTGATCTTTAATCTCAGCTTTTATCTGCAGTTTTGAAGAGCTTTGAAGTTATTCGCCCCAAACAAGTCCAATAGTGCCACAGGAATGTCAAAATAATAAGATGCAAATAAGCAAAATGTCACAGTATTTCAATTTATTATTGGGCATTGATTGTGAAGAGTATTGGAAAACAGCCTAATGCTCATGTCAATCGATAGCCACCCCTTAACAAGAGGAGGCGCTTTGTTTTCCAACTCCAAGGAGAGACGTGTGAAACGCTTGGTACCAGCATAAAATAACGGCCCGGTTTACAGTGCTGACCTTGACTTGAATCAAGTCAGGCTTACGTTTCTCTTCCCCAGTCAGCCATCCCTTCGCATACATAGTACACGGTCGTTGCGCTCGGATAGCTATAATAATTTTTGATGGTTTTCCGAAGATGACAGTGAAAAAGTGTATAAGCTGAGAGAAAATGACATTGAAATTTGTGCCCCTGTACATTTTCACGGGGTCGCTCAAGCGCTGAAGCTTTTGCCTCAACATGCCATTTATGCGCATGCGCACATAAATTACAATTTATTGGTAGAAGGTCTGTTGTAAAATGTGTGCTACCAGTTAGTAAGTCCAACTTGAAGGATAAGCCAACCAGACCCCTGTCGGTGATTTATAGTCATTCATTATTGCATATGAACGACGTGATCTTGCATAATGTATACGGAATTTCCACCAAAGTACATGTAGTCAGACTTGTAGACTCGTTCATTGTAGTAGCGGTATGAATGCCGTAAAACAAGTCCAGCAATTTGATTGACTGTTACCTGTTTAGGTAGATGAGCTGATTCGCCGCTTTATACAAACAGCGGCGAATCAGCAGCTGTAGCTGTCGGATTCAAGTTAGGATTTCTGAAGTCACAGTAAAAAGTGCACACAAGAGGGCGCAAAGCAAGTAACAACGCTCGTCCTCCATAGCCAATTAAAGCATAAACGCTGCCATGTTGCATGTGCATGCCATAAACTACCAGCGATAACCGGTTGTTTCAAGTTGTTCCCGGCGTTCGAGCGGCCGACCCACGAACAACAAATCGGGCTGTTCGTGAACATACGAGAACAGGCCGCCCAATCTCGACCATAGAGTACCAAAGTGTGACGTCACTGCGAACCAAAAAGTGTAGTGCAAACAAATGGAGTATGCGCGCGTGTTGGTTCGTGCGCTGATTTTCACTCTAATGCACGGACGTGTATAAAAAACATGGACTTGCAACGCCTTTGTATGAAGAAGAAACCAACCAGCGGCCATTTTACTGAGCCGTATACAAAATTTGCGTGGGTTGGCTCCCTTTTATTGACGTCAGGAAGAACAAGGGCGGGCATTACCAGGAAAGCTTTGTATTCGGCTCGGTAAAATGGCCGCGAGTGGATTCAATGACCTCTATAAGCTGATTAAGGGCATTGCGAGTCCAGCGTTTATTGTACACGTCCGTGCTCTAATGCTGTTTACACACACAATTATGCGCCTGACGTAGTCACTTACATACGACGTCTCGTGTGAATATAGCGCCCTCTGCTACATGCACAATGCACCGGCCAAAAACGTAAAACCAGTCTTGGGGCAAGACTAGCGTGCTATGTGATCCGATCTGATCACTGTGGGCGCCCTCTATCACTTTTTAGTAAAAGAAATCAAATGAAAATAATATATATGACGAAAGAAATATATATAGGACGAAATTACGATTTCGTCATCAACAAAGGCGAACGGTTTACATTTGAATGGAAATTGAACACTCCGGTAGCTACCAAAAAAGGACATAATTCAGTATCGTACTCGAGCTTCAGCCCACCCTAAGTCAGTATTTGGCGGATTAATCAAGGGAGAAACAGCGAGATATAACTGTACTCGATAGATTTTGAGGAGAAGGTTGAATTATGCGGAGACAAACTTCAAAAACGCGGATACAACCATGAAGAATCGACGGGATGCCTAAAAAAAGTGGCCACCAAGCTAGCCTGTTTCTGAGAGAATAGTTATCCCAAATAATAAAGTACAATGCTGGAAGGTTACGGATAACCCTTACCAATGTAACATGTGACAATGGCTTCAACACGAGTTAACATGAAATAGCAAAATACCTTTCCTCAAAAAGGCGAGCTTACATGAATTCGAGCAAGCGTGCTAAAAAGAAAAAACTCCACTTACCAGCAAGGCGACACTCAGCGCTAAAACAGGCCCTTCTTAAAAACTGGGATTTGATCGACTGAAATGAATATCTTAATGCACTCGTCCCAACTAAACCCTTCATTGCATATAAACAGCACAGGAGTGGTACTGTCGAGCATTTATCGATATCCACTTTAAGAAAAGAATGGACGTGGAGAACATTGATTCAAATTCTAATGGAACACCTTGAGGAACAAAATTTAAAAAGTGTCTGTTAGGCATGGAATTCTCTCCCAAAATAACAAACATTGGAATTTGCCTACTCCGATCTTACCTTACAGAACAACGATAAAGATTCTTGACCAACAGTTGCAACAAATCAGTAAAAAAGAACCAAAAATGGTGACTGATGAAGTGCGAAAAACAAGGCACCGAAAATGTGCTCTGTTTCCCCCGACACAAGAGAGAGAGAGAGAGATAGAAAAAAACAAACAGATGGGACGGCGCCGCTCCGATCGGAACAAAAGAGGGCAGGTTTTTAAAGTATACTCTCCGCAATGGCGCGCGTTTATAATGGATTAATGGCGCGTTTGACGCGGAGCACAATGAGTGAGCGTGATGAATTTATTCCTTGATGTATCCGGTTCGTAAGTGTGACGTCACTTAAGTTTTAGCCACGCCCACTGCACACGTTCACTGCACATAGGGTTACATGCATTGATTGCCGTTTACATGTGCACCTTCAGCGATTGTCCAATGAGAGCCTGCAAATCGTGGCGCGTTTGCCTTAGTGACGAAGTCACTTACGAACAGGATGGTCTTTGCGCACGCGCAGAACGCGTGCAAAAACTTGCTACCATCTGTCTTTGTTTTGCCGCTAGGGGGTGTACTTCAACTCGGGGCAGATTATCACCGGTATACATTAGTGAATAAGAAACACAAAAGCACAAATATACACAAACGAGCCCTTGCTTCGCCGAGCTTCGGATAGGGCCTAGGGAGTTTTAAAACTGCCGCTCTGCAGCGACTTTGGCTATGTGTCTGTGACGTCATTGTTCCGAACAGAAGAGAACCGAAATTTGGAGTTGGTTCGCACCGGTTCAGAATGGAAGCAAATAAAGAGACAAGTTTTGTCGCCCCGCAAACAAGTGAATTATACATTTCATAAAGTGGCATGCATTTAAAGAGACGCCATACGGGACAACCAACATAATACCATACATTATCATTTTTTTGCTTTGCAGTGGTGGTAACGTAACGTCGGTGAATAGCCGCTGCCAAACGCGCACGAGATCACGCAGTGCGGTCCGCGCGCAGTGTTCTTCATCAAGTTTTTTTCTTTAATTATTCTGCTGACGTCATCGGACCCTGGACAGTGAATAAAAAGATGATTTTTTGTTTGAGTATAATAAATGAAGTGCCCCCCCATCGGCGGAAGAAAGAAAGGTGGTTACAAGTGGGTTCTTGCACGTGTTCTGCATGTACGCAAACACCCATTGATCTCCATTATATGGAGATCAATGCAAACACTGCGCAAGCCGGAATAAATTGGTTGCGCGTATTACTGTGCTCCGCATCAAACGCGCATATACTTGCGCGCCATGAGGCGCGCCTATGAGGTGAGTACCAAAAAACACGCCCCCTTTACTTCCACTCGGAGTGCATAGGGCTGCACAAGTATTTCGGGGCAGTGGGGATATTAATCCCTGGTACGGTTTAGTAAAATCTGGTTTCACAAAAATTGAGAGCGCATACTCAGTTCTTGACAAACACACGACCGAGAAATTAATCAAGCAGACACCGTTCCCTCCCTCGGTTCATACATTACTTTACATGGATTCACCCTTCGCGTCAGATACCTGGTAATGAGATGTGTGGACACTGCATTGGTTATATCCCCGTGACATTTTGTCAATATTCCTCTGATCCAATTTCGACGATATTGATTTCTTGACTTATATTATAACAGAAAACTGGTAGGGCGCCAGGTAGAGTCTGCTTGAGCATCGGAGCACCACGGGGAAGCGCTCTGATTGTGGCCAGCCGGGGAAAATACCCCGTTGTATTGAAATATCGATTGCACAATAATATAGGTTTTCCCGCAACTTTTCAAAATTGGCGCTCCAATTGACGTTAGGCTCGTTCGATTTAGCACGAAATTGATTGATGATCCATATCAACATTCAATCAGCCAAAATAATCTATCAATTTAACTCCATGAATATACGATTGCGATTTTTTGTTAAACCATAAGGTTAAGTCGCTATTCAATTTAGAAAATACTAGGAACAGCAGTCCTTCGCACAGTCATTCTGTGGTACTCGGAATAGGCAAGCATTTCTGATATCCGTGCAATGTTTTTCATCAAAGTATAAATTTGAAATGTTTGAGGTTTGAATAATTTATTCAAATAACATCATGAAGAAAACGTGTTTCACTATGAAGAAATCTCTCTTAGTACACTATTCACCTTGGTGGGAGAACCTCTTATTCTATGAGCTCAAACGTTGAAACAATATGGCAGCTCGTGGTCGCCACACAAGAATATCCAATGTTGATCGTGGTCGTTTGATTGAAGCATTTGAGGGAAATGGGCAAGTATACCTAGAACTGGCAGATAACCTTGGTACAATGAAGATTTATGAAAAGAAAGAAAAAAATTGGTTTCGTGTAATCCGACATGTTCTACTTTAAAAGAATAAAATCAAACTCGATATTATCCTAAGGAAAGCATTTAACAGAAGAAAAGTGAAGTTAAATGAAAAGGTTGGGGATAATAAAGGTCCAGGACAAATATCACCAGCGATCAAGAATATTTTGGAATTGTACGCCTATTATAATTATACAGACACTTCTACATTGTCTCCAATATTCAGGCAATGTATACTTTTAACAGCTTACATTGCGAATATGAGTGCCCATTGACGAAAACGAAAGTAAAATTTGGATACGAATCCGCCTCCCAGTCACCTAGAGCGAAATTGAGTGACGCTTGTGCGTTGTGAAATTGAACGATACTGTTACGAAATCGAATCCTCTTAAGCGCACGACTCGACGTCTACAAACGAAATGGAATGAATCACGGGAATAATGGGCTTTGAGAAATCGCTCGAAGGTGAATGCATGTTCACGAATTGTAATGCTGTTTACACAAATTCGGCTGGGAAAACCTATATAGGCCTACAGTTTAGAGAAACTTAGAAATTGTTTACACTTCAAGCAGTGTACTTTAATGACTGGTGTTGCCCTTAAATAATTATATCTATTAACTTCACTGTAGGTCAGTAGCCATTAATATTTCATTGCCCTGTACAAAAATTCGACTTAACCCGGATGGTTTTTTTTTGGGGGGGTGGATGGCATGAAAAGGGTGCAGCGTTCCTATGTGATGCCACTGTCAATCATATGCAGCAAGGTATGAGACGGAGAGAACCCCCCCTGCTTTGTGTTGGTCATTGTCTCGCAGGAATCTGGGGAACTCCTTTAAGACATCTTGGGGGATGTATTAAGTAACAATAGCCTGGAATGTGTATAGGGATTGGACACGTTAGGGGGGTACCCATCGGTCTCATTTCTTGCTGGGTATACTGTCAATGGCTTAAATCTGTGCAGGAAACTGGAGGGGGGTGACCTGCTTAGCCATGCATGGACATTTGAATAGCGAGGGAGGGGGGGCTGCACCACACACTACATATCGGGTGATGTTCATGATAAAGACGTATCTGTAATGTGTATCAAAATCATGCAGAATCTTACATCAGAGTGACATATGTATGGTTTTATACAATTGTTTTCCCTTTTAAGTGATATTGCAAACATTTCAGTCGTTGGGAAATCCTAAAAGTTCTTCACGACCCGCTTATTTTTTAAATTTTTTTTGCTCATCACATTAACAAAAAGGGGGGTGGGATTCAATAGTTTGCCAACCTCGGGGTTTACGACCATGTCCACTGTACTTTTTACCAGAAGAACCGTGAATAATTTCAGGAAATTTTCACAGACCTATGCCAAGCTCATGGTGAAAACAAAATAAATTTTGCAAAATTCCCAAGGCAACTTCAATCTCTTCAACAACTTTGAAATTTCAGCTAAGGAAGCACCATTAAATGCAATAACCAATTAATCCCTTGACATTCAGAGTTCAACTAAGCAATATCGCCTACTTACTGTGCTTACAGCTGCCAGCCAAGAAACTCAACAAAACCCCGGTAAAAACAGTCACCACAGACACCTCAACAAACACACAACTATACAAAATAAAATTCACACACTGATCTAAGCTCCACCCAGACACCACCCAGCCACCCAAACACCCAGATCCGGTGACAAGACTCAAGCGCCATTACTGCGGTTAGTTTGGATACCAGACCCGATGATTCCGACTACTTCAAGAATCGATGGTCCGGTATCACCCAATGTCCACGTGACCAAGACTGCAGCAATTTTCATGGGTGCGCGTCATCATCGTGCGGGATGAGGATTGGACGAGCTAATGGTGTGCGCTCTACACGTGCCACGCTCTATGTCTGGCGACGAGTTCACACTCGATCCCAAGCATTGTATGCACTTGGGTTCATCGTTCATCAATGTTCATTGACAATGTCATGCTCTGGGGATCTACGTAATAATGCTGTTTGGTTCCCAGACCAAACTGATCCCAACTGTGTTTGGCATCGGTCACCGATTGGGAGTTATTTGCTTTAGTAAACGAATGGCCCAAATCGAAACCAAAATTACACGGACTTTTACAAATTGGAAATCGCCCAAAGTAATACATCAAGGTATTGATGGGGTGAGTGATATATACACGCAAAAGGCGTTTCAATCATAGAAGGCGTTTCCGCTGTGTCTCCACGTTTTGAACGGACCGATACCGATACCAACACTCAACTTCGTCTTCGTCTCAGGCTTCGTATTTAGGAAACCAATCCCCGATTGTAGGCCTGAAGCGTTTAACTTAAATTGAAATACTGTAATGTTTGGCTCTTTTGCATCTTACTTGATCTTTTGTGGCACTATCAGACTTACTATTGCGCTTACAACCTCAAAGTCAGGAAGTTTAAAAAAAAAACAGTTGAAGCCCCCGACGGACCCCAAGTTGAGTATTGGAAAACGGCCTAGGATACGGAGGGAGTCCAGTAGACTGGCCCTCAGTCTGGGGCTATCTCAGGATACATTGCGAACGTAATAGTTTTTATTAATGCAGCTGGTCACTTAAAGCTTCTACATTACCCCTGCACAAAAAGTGTCTGCGTTGTTCACGGGCGTAATTCCCGGATGTGGAGGTATATATTACCCCACACTCTTTGACGAGGCAATCATAATCAGCCCCCTCCGTTTTTGTGAGAAAAACTAAGGTGGGATGTGAAGAACTGTTGGAGCTTCCTTACAGCCAAAATGTATTCAATAAGACTCAAAGGGGGAGAACCACGCCGTTGACACCAGGGTTAAAAACTTACCATAAATATGCCGTTTGATGTAATTTCCTGCAGGAGTGTAATATACTGCAGATGCACATCATGAATGTCCCAATGTCAGTATCCCCATTCCATGGCTGGCCAAGTCATACCCCACACCCCCAGTTCCCCGTACAGGTACTAATTGACGCGACCTTTCTTTGTTAAAAGGGCCTGAGATTTGTGGCTTTATAACGGGCGAATAACACCAGGGCGAGTTTGAGCATCGACCATTAATTTGTCAACCCCTGGTCGATTTTGCCTGGTACCTGGGGCTTACCTGTTGAGTAGTGAGCTAATTTAAGGTACTTATTACATTTTATGCATAATGACAAGCTGTAATACTGTCCAACTACCAGCATGTTTCTGCTCTTCCACTCTAAGTCGCATTTCAATACCTGTGAACAGGTATACAGACATTAATTGCAGACAGGAACGAAGTAAACAACTCCCGAAGCAGTGTCAGGCACGTACCAATTTCCTCATTTATCGGACATCCATTACCGGTTTTGTGTTAGCGCTACAACTGATCTCACGACAAGTTACGGAAACAAGCGAAGGAAACGAATGGAAACATCAATGAGATGTCACCGTGGACACTTTGTGGTTACCCACAGCTATTTTGAAGGGCTTTGACCGTCGTGCCATTGCTTTTCTGGTCAGAGACAACTGCCTGAACCGTAGTAGTTCAGCTCATCGGAGGAATAACTCGGTCATGAAAGCTTGGATAAAATGCCTGCTGCTCCTCGCCTGCACCTGTAGTTACATCGTGCTGGGCGGAGTCACCTTCATCGCCCTAGAGCATGAGGAGCCCATCAGAGTTCAGCGAGAACTCACCGAGGCTGTGGCCAGCTTCGTGGCCAACAACAGTTGCTGTGGTGTAACGGATGAAACCCTGCGAGACTTCCTGGAGGAAGTGGTCATCAAGGCGAACGAAAATGGGGTGTTTTGGTCCAAAGCGCACCCCGCCACGGGCTTAAAAGAAGTCTGGGTCCTTTCAAACGCCTTTCAGCTCTCGTTTGAAGTCGTTACAACAATTGGTAATGATTAAAGCTCTTAGCGCTACCATGTAAACAAAAGCATTGACAATAATTATGCTAAAAATGAACGGTCACTTTGAAAACGTAGACTATAGACCAAAAATCATTTGGGGTGTTTTGATTTTATCATTTTTCTGCGCGTATGCACATGTGCGTTGAACTATCGGTTTCAGGCCCAAAAAACAGTCCCCGGTCACCGCGCGCGTTGCCGTAGACCTGCGCGTCGGCAAAATAATATTTTGTATTCAGTAAAAAACGATTTCAAAAGTCTCTAAACTTACTTGATCAGCAGGAATTCTGCTACCGCGTAATTTTAACGTGTTTTTGACGGGCGCGGTTGAGTGATAGTAATGCACGGTGAAGGAATCCCCCAGGCCTCCACACATTTCAGTCAGGTACTCTCATCAGATGACATCATGCGTGTATCTTAACACGAAGGCCGTGTCCGAATCAGTTGGCTGCGGCTTGATATTATGCATGATTCTACGGGTACTGACCGTGGATGCTGCCAAATACTCGGTGTAATTTCCGGCCGTAGCCAATTGATTCGGACCCAGGCCCACGTCTGCGAACCAGACAAACGAAGTGGTCTTACTTCCTGCTTACATATACAATCTGAAAACGGTTTTAAGCAACAAACCGTGAGAGGTCAGTCTATTTCAGTGTCGGTGAGGCAGGGGCGGTACATACACTTACATATACGTATGCAGTGCATGCTGTGGCGATGGACATCGCGTTATATTATGGCAACCATACATGATGTACACGTAACAACACACTCATCGTCACTTGCCAAGAACGAAGGTAGATTAGAGTGAGAGGAGATTTCATTTTCTGAGCTGAATTTTTTCTCCAATATGTTATATGCAACTTGTTTCTCATAAGCTAAAGCAGAAAACAATGTGCAAAGAATGTCATATAATGCTACCTCATGAGAATTTCTTTAAAACCGGAATCTGGAGCTGAACATTTATTTTTCACATTTAATTTTTCCATGGTTGTGCTACTGTATTTTAACAAGCTCAATCATGCCAAGAATAGAAGCCTCTTGTTTGAGTGAGATGACTGAAGCCATTGCCTCTTGTCATATTTGATGGTCTTTTTATTAATTCAAAGAATTGTTAATTGTTAATTCACACTTCTTATAGTAACAAGGCCATGCGCTCTAAAGTCTATGTGCATGTACATCACTTCTAAGAAAAAAAGAGGAGGGGAAAACACGTTTCACCGCATCACTTTTGAACCAAGTGAATGACCAGAAACCGGAGTCTTTTTTTTGGGGGGGGCTTATCTTCCGTTTATACATTGCAAGGGTTTTTATTATCCAAAAACAGTTTGGAACTGAGCCTACTTGGCGAGGTTATCGCTGCCGCAAAGACCCTCTGTCTACTCCGCTGCTTTTGTCACTGTAAGTGGGAGCTGAACTTTAACTTAAAACGGTCCATTTCGTGAGAAAACATTCCAAAGGGATTTAATGCTATTTGAATACACTGTGTCAATTTATAGAGCACCGTGATTTAAACCTTGATCCTTGTGAAAGTCAAACGAAGGCTGACGGCTGTTTTGCTAGGTACGTGGGCAGTACCAGATCATTAATACCAAAGTCACACTGCAATTTTTTAATTTAGCTTTTCCCTCAATATAAACAGGGCAAGGATTGATTGTGCCAAGGACATTCCGGGGTCGATTGTTCTGCATGTTTTACGCCATCTTCGGAGTTCCACTCTGCTACTTAATGCTGACTACGGTGGGCGACACTTGCTACTTCATGTGGAGGAAACTGCGTCGACTCTTCTCTCGCATCCGACGACGATCCATTCGCCTGACCTTAGGAGTGCCGTGTACCCTCTTCGTGTTGTATCTAGTCCTGGTCACCATTCCGGCTACATTCGTGGGTATAGCGGAGGGTTGGAACTACTTCACCTCAGAGTATTACTGCTTCATGATCATGAGCACCGTGGGACTCGGAGACTTGTCCCGGAAAGCGCACAGTTCGGACTCGGTCATGATGAACTGGATCAGGAAGGTCTTCTCCGTGATCTACGACTTTGTCTGTCTCGGCATCATCTCCGTCATCTTGAAGGGTATAAATGAGTACAGGAAGGAAGTGCGTAGCCACAGGGAGGCCAAGAGACTGAAGAAGGAGACTGGGAAAGGGGAAGCAAGAAACGTCTCCTTCATTCCTTACAGTGTCGATCAGTTGCCCACAGAGCAAGGGCTCTCCACTTCTCAAGACTCCGAACAGGATTTTGGTTGTCCCTGTATCAAAGACACCGGAGCGTATTGAATCACGTGGTCCGGAAAACGAATCTGCCTTCCCCTTTGACACAGCACTCTCTTAAATACTGGAGGGCCAGTCTTTCAAATCCAAACAATGTTTTCTGTTGTCGTTGTTTATAATGACATTCGTACAATAAATTAATTTTAATACTTTGAGGCATGGATTTACGATCAGCCAAAATCTTAAAATGCAAGAGGCAACAGTGTTAGTCTCAGGATCAAATGCAATTAAATAGAAGAGTCAAAATACTATGACACAACGCAAGAAGGGCATCCGTTGAAACACATTAACAGGGTACCTACCCCTTTGGGAGGCGGTTTAGAAGCAAATGGCTTGATTGCAACGAGGCCCGCTTGTTTCTTTCAAGGAACAATTAAAAAAACAAAACACAGGCGCAATGGCGCGAGAAAAGCACCAGTGTCCTCCTGCCTGTCCACAGAATTTCTGGAAAAGCAGTATACTTGATAAAACTCAAAAGGATTTTCCCAAGTTTATCATTCTAAATAAATGGAATTGTCTTCAGAGATTTTCATTCCATCCAAAAGACGCAAAAATTTCAATCGGTTAGGCTGAAATCGAACCCGTGACTTTAACCACCTGTTACAATATACATAAAAATAAGTATTATTTGACAATATACACTTTTTTAAAACTTTAACAATGTAACCAAATTTATTTGTATTTGTAAAACCTTTTATTCTTACTGTTTCGTGACAAATACCATACCGACATTTGACGTTTCTCTTCTTTTCTAAAGTCTTGAAGGTTTGCAATGACCTTTTGTGAATTTTTGCGTTGGGGAGATGTTAATTATATATAACAGGTTGTGCCCTTACCCAGCGTATATTAATAAGCACTGTATGCTCAGTGCTTGTCCGAGAGCTTGCGAAAAAAAAATACATCTTGAAAATAGTTCGTGGTACCCGCTGCTTCATTTGACTCGGACCGGCCAGCCGACCACGGCAAGCTCGGTGGTCGAGTGGTTAAGACATCTGCACTAGTAAGCAGGAGGTCGTGGGTTCGAGTCCCGTCCGAGTAAGCTTGGGAGGTTTTTTCGCAAGCTCTCGGACAAGCATTGAGCATACAGTGCTTATTAATATACGTTGGGTAAGGGCAAAACCTGTTATATATAACCTTCTGTGAAGTTAAAGAAATCTGTTCTTCTTAGAATTGTTGGATACACGTATATGCAAAAATTATTATTATCGTAATTATGTGTTCAAGCACTATCGGTAACTTTTTAACAACCACCTTCTTGTGTCTTGTGCCGTATGTCACAAATTTGTTAGTTGTCTTCATGGTTTTTTCCACTTGACTACATCAAATTCCGAAAAAAAGGTCAGAAAATGTAAAAAAAAAGGCAATTTCATGATTCAATCACGTTTACCAACCTAATTTTTGAAACCACTGCATCAATTATTTTAGAAGCCAAGGTTGAAAGATTTATGGAAACCTTTCCTGGGATCATTTTCGTGCAACTTTCTACTCCTCTTTAATTTAAAAACACCGTATACAATCCTTTTTTTGATGGCTTTCATTGATAAGTGTCCTTTTTAGACATTGAAATTTTTCCATAATGCTTTTGACAAATCGTCATCGTTTCACGAAGAGAGTCTCGCCGGAGGGTAAAAACTAAATTTCATGAAAATCGCATTTTTGAAGTAGGTCTCTCTTTCAAACGCTTATTTCCTAAGTATTTAGCACTCCTTTGACTTAATCGATGATACTTCATGAAAGAAGGGATCTTAAGACACAAAACTACAAAGCAACATGCATAGATATCAATGAAAATTGTTAATATTGTAAAAAACACACTTTATCTCTTCTGGAAAACGGCACGCACAGTGTGGACAGCGTGCTTGCGAATAAAATCTTGTACACTGATTAAACTGATTGTACATAAACATAACAATTTGAACTCTGTTGCTATACATTGTGATTCAGGGCAAACTTTTACATTGCAACCACCATCTCAGGAATGGACTGGTTCCCTTGTGCCCTTGTGCACAGTGTAAAAGTGTATTGGAGCAAGGCGCCTCATATGTTGAGTTAAGCAAAAGCTTGCCCCAAATCACGACGTATAGCAGCAGTGTCTTTAGTAAGGAGAATTTAAATCGTTATGTTCACCCGAATTTAAAGAACTACCAAATTTTAATCAAATTTAATTCGCAGAAGGCTTATTGTTATATTTGTCAACTCCGTCTTTTCATAAAAACGGCAAAACAAGTTTTGCCATTGGTCTTGTTGTTAAAGCTATGGAAGACATTTTTCTCTTCATAAAGACGAAAAAATGCGGTTCATTTGAACTTTACCCCATGGAGATCATCGTGATTTAAAATTACGTAGCATTGGTCACTCACACAAAATGGTGCATCGGTACACTTCGACATAATACAAAGTGGCATAGGCCTATATGCTTTACATGTGAATTCTAAATGTACATGTGAATTTCAATAGACATTGACCTACGTTTAGACGCTTCGATGCTATCCGTTTTATAGAGGTTGATACTCTTTCAACGTGTTCATCAAATTGTACCATACCCGCATTAATAATAGTCTCGACAAAACTACAGAGGACCATAAAACTGACTGACACTTTCATTGGATTAGATTATAAGAGGATGGCTGTCCAAATTGCGGTTGGACACGTATTCGGGCGACACTGGCATACCAGCAAAATAATTTGTCACGTTCGTTTCTGGAATAATTTATTCCAGTGTGTTTCCTCAGCCTAAATAAGAATAAGGTTATTTACAAGCACTTGTTGATATTCATTTGCATAAAGAATTTTCTCAGATATTCAAAGAAAAGGATTTAAATTTCTCAGTTAACGCCGAATGAATTCCTTAGTTGCTGGACGGTACACTGCCTGAGTTCTGCTGAGATCATTGGGTGTGATCCTCGTGAATTATAGGAATTTTGTCAGAAAAATGGAGTGGTCCATCAAACTCACTCGTCTTATGTGAACTTACCAGTCCGAATATTGTCTACCAGCTCACACAGGTTTGTTACTGCCTCCCTGTGTTGTCTGACTTTTCAAGTGTGACGGTCAACTGTTGTAGCAACTGATACAACAAACGTAGGCCTACGTAAACGTGTAGTGGTATAAAAGTAAACACGAGGTCTGCTGTAGTTAAAATTAAAGGACTGCTATTTCAAGAGAACAATCTGATGGTACGTACATGTATAAAACTGAAGTAACGCCCGTGATCTCAAGTATACAGTACCCAGACAGATGGAGAAATGCCATACTCAAAACGATTCACTGGTATTCAAGTTTCGCGCCTGAAAGGTTAGGATCTCAAGACCTCTGCTGGAGGGGGTAACGCAATCTCGTATATAGCTGAGGTGGCCTACACTATGATGACATTATCTTCAGTGTTCAACCACACATGTCCAAAACATTTCTGACGAACTTGCACTTACGAAGAAAACTGAGCCCAGAGCTTCAATATTCAGCACTCAGGATCTTCTCAACACCGTCAAAAAGTCGAACCATTTCCTAATACTGAAGAGGTATACAATGAACTGCACCACACGATGAAACCGCTTCCCCGTCGGCTGATTAAGACAATCATCCTGAGCGTTTGTTTCTATGGTTACCTGATGCTGGGAGCGCTCACTTTCCAAGCAACAGAGGCTGAGCCACACCGGAACTTGCTCAAGAAATCGCGACGACAACTTCTCCGAGCCCTCCAAAACTTCACTGACGCGAACCAAGGATGCGGCGTCGCTATGGACCGTGTCAGGGCCCTGCTCCAGGCGGCCAACAACGCGTGGGAGCGGGATGCTTTCCTCGTCGATCCGTCCAATGGTGTCCAACCTGTTTGGAACCTGGTCGACTCAATGGCATTCAGCTTGGCGGTCGTCACAACAATAGGTGGGAATGAAGCTGAAGTTTCAACCTAAAATGTCCTTTGTTGGAGCCCTTCATAGCCTGGTCTTAATACCAGGCTTTGGAAAGGAGCAGATTTATGGTTGCTGTTAGGGAGAGGGTGCACTGATCTGAAAAAAAAAAAGAAAAATGTAAAAGCGAAAGAAGGGGGAAACAAACGGAAAATATGACATGAAAGTTGAAGAAAATCACAAACTTTACATGGTTGGAAAAATCCACGATGTTAAATAATCAGTGCTCCTCCTCCCCATCTTTTCCATGAAAAAAAAAGAGATTTGCCCTTCCCTGGAAAAAAAACCCTGACGACGCCCATGAGTAGATATTAATGTTTTGATGAAAGGATATGGCAAAAATATATAAGTCGGGTAAGGGGAAAACCTGTTATCAAAATTAACGTCTCCCCGACGCAAAGTACACTACTTGTCGCAGGCCTCTAGTTTGAATCAAATATTTTTCTTCCTTTTTTGCACAGCGGTGTCAAGCCACAGTACTTGTTTTCGAACACGATAGATAATGCCAACTACACTTGGAGTATAACATTGTATATAATATTGTAGTTGCGCATTTTCACTGGCAGTCTGTACATAGCGGGCACGCCTTGTCATTTATGTCATTCATGTGACTTCAAACAAAACAGCAAATTGCAAGATGTACACTGTTAAAATTGTGTTGTGCTACAATGCTTTTTCTGTAAAGTGTATCAGTAATTGACAGGGAATCTTTGTAACGGACGCACCTCGTGACTGTACAGTGATTTTTTTGTGTTACAACAGAACCCCATAAAAAGCTTTGTAATTGTACAATTTTTCTCTGTAACATGAATTAACATTAATTTGCATATTGACTTTGGTGCTCAAAAGCACTTTCATAAAGCTAATTTCGCCATTTTTCTCGTGTTTCCTGTTATTGCGAGTAACAGGTAATGTTTTTGTGGAGAAAGAATTTTATTCTGAGTCATCTTGTGTGCCAAAAAATAAGAACTGCTAAAACAAATATGGTTTTAACTTGCCATCCTGCCAACGGTGACTAAATTCGAAAGACAAAGCGATGCACATATATATAAGCAAGCTGCGTGCCATTATAGATCAGGCTAGCAGCAACCATGATCATACTGCATCGATAGGGTGAGGAAATATGTCTTAACACATAAAATATGAACCAAATGTGTCTATGCCATCAAAAATGTAAGTAGCAACCTCAACCTTGTAAGCAGGCCTCCTTCACCCTCGTCACGTTGCTTCCACAAGTCAGAAAAACAACGTCTTCGTAAATCCACAAATAAAAATCTGTTCATGTACAAAACGAGCCTCTGTACATTAACTTCACATTTGTAATAACAATTGCCGTAAGTCAATTCTATGTACATTCTATGTAAATGTACAGAAAAATTTTGAACGACAGGCTTTGCTCTTACAGTGACATATATTCATAACACTGTACAGGCCCGTAACTAGGACTTTTCGTGGGGGGGGTGCGAATCCTTAACAAAGCGGACCAAGCATAGGGGGATTTCAGGGGGTTACAAGTAAACTCCCGAAGAGGGTATTGACCAAGGCAAAAAGTTCGCGGCATTTGTTTGCGCAAAATGTTCCACTATGGCTCCAAATCTTTTCTTCAAGTTCCTCAAAAGCAGACCTTTTAGTCGCGTGGGGGCGGACCCCCTCCCCCCAGTTATACGTGCCTGCTGTATGCCAAATTATGCTCACAGACAACGTCGGTGTATCCCGCAAATTACAAGTCGTACGAGTCAATTAAGGCCTTACTTTTGTGCAGGTAAATAAAAGACAAGACTGGAAATTTTTGGTTTATCCTTCGCATCAGTGCAAATTACACACCGGCAATGCCGAAGTGAAGTCAAGGGCGTGACTAAGGGTCTTCAAATGGAACAAAAGCATATATCAAGGTCTGTCATTGAAATTATCTTCGTGGAGGACCCTGTGTTAATGGCCATGATGAGCTAAAGGTTACAGTCCAATGAACAGCTTCAGCAGAAAATAACGTCACAATCATCCCTGCAGTCGACTTTTATTGGCGCATAAAATGTGTCACCCATTCACGCTTGAGCTTATAGCAAGTGGGCTGAGTTGATGGGTTTACGTCAGACAACTTTACCGTTCATTCCCCCCCCCCAAAAAATCAAATCAACAATCATTGCAAAAAGTTCAGCTATGCTGCACGTAAGAAAAGACCATTCCGCTTATTGATGTCGAATAAATTCCGGATTAAGTTGTCATCATTAGTAAAAATTTAACACCAGCAAAATTTTTTACCTTATATTTAAATCTATTCCTCTGTGTATTGAAGCCCTTTTCTAGCCAAAATCCATCTAACATTAACAGGTGTCCTCCTTTAAACTTCATGGGGTGTTTCAGTGAAATTTGTGACGGTCCGATACAGAATTCTTCCCACCCTTTAGATAAAGAATCCCTTTCAAAAAAAAGGTTGAAGAGTGAACTCGGTTTGAATTTCTTGTCAGGATACGGAGATCTAGTACCAAGGACCACGGGAGGCCAGGTGTTCTGCACGCTGTACGCAGCAGCAGGGGTCCCACTATGTTACTACATGCTTATGGTGGTGGGTAAGACGTTCCGGACGGCTTGGGTGACACTGTTCAACTGCTTTGCCAACCTGAAACACCGAGTGGGCCGCCGTATTCTGTACCTCATCATGCCCCTCACTTCGCTGTGGATCTTCCTGGCTGTCATACCAAGCCTGACGCTGATGCAGACCGAGGGATGGCCGTATCTGACGGCGCAGTATTACAGCTTTGTCACACTTAGCACCATCGGCTTCGGGGACGAGCAGCCCCGTAGAACCTCGCCGTATACTGGCTACGCCTACTCCATCAAAGTGATATTTATCGTGTACATTCTGCTAGGCCTAAGTATCATTTCCATTACCTTCTCCGGCGTGTCGATGGCACTCAGCGAGTTTCGAGAGAAGACAAAAAGGAAAAGGAAATGCGCACTGCACAGAGAACAGATTGAAGACCACGTAGCTGTTACTAATGACCCTAGTGTCACCCCCCTATCCTATAGGCAAAGGGTACCGATTCAGTCAGCGGTAACGAGTGAACTCTGAGCCAAGGTGTGTAGCCAATATACACGCGTAATACAGGCGACTGCTCTGAAGTTAAAATGCCGAGTTATAACCATGAACGATAACGACAGCAAACGTGATTGCAAGGGGAAGGGTAGCATTAAATTGATCGACGTGGCTCCAACGAGCTGGAAGTACCTGTTGCCAACCAGGCATAACCTACATTTTCGTTTTGAAGACGGCTTTGCCGAGAAACTTGGGGCATGGTTCTTCTCTTTTGCCCTATAGCTGGTCAGATGAGCGGCCCAAAGGGGTTATCCCCCCGGGGAAAATTTTTGTTTCAACTATTAATGAAAGGCGTTAGGGGAACTTTAATTTCCCATCTTGCGAAAGCGTGTTTAAGGGCTGCATTCTTCCGATGAGCAATTAACATTTTATCAAAAAATTCCTAAACTTGTTATTGCCCCCAGGAAAAATGTCTCCCCCCCCAAAAAAGTTGGTCCTGGACCTCCCCCCCTTTACATTAGCAGTGATTAGGCAGGTACATGACATGGCTATGAATACTTTTTGTGACAAAACACAACCATTGAGATAAAGTATTTTGCAATTTTGGTTTTAATATAACTTTGACAGATTACATTCTATATGTCCCACTTCTGAATTTCATTACAAAATTTTCTATTTCAAGCTGTGGACAAAGCATGTATACATTATAGTACCCACCAAATATTGGCTTATCTCAAGCACGTTTACAAAGCTGTAAAAGCTATAAGGACAAACATTTAAAAAATGAAGCACTACCAAGCCAGGTCCAATGTCCATGTCCTACCATGCCAACATGGCCTATGATCTAGCAACACATGGAATATGATGATTGTATAAAGTACTGAAATCTACGTAGGATAAGCCTTGGACAAGGCCTTGTTTTTTTCTATAATGCTTGAAAGATTCACAGTCTTACACATTAGGAAGAAATGTACAAACTCATGGTGAATTTAAACTCTCAAGTAAATGAAAACTGCATTCTAATAGCAAAACAACTGCCATATTCTGACCTTAAAACTTCTACAGCAAAAAGTCCAACTATCGTCTCCGCATTTTAAAACTAATTTCCAACCTGACTTACTATTTTGTTTCAATTCTCAAATCAAACTGACAAATGCTGCTCTGATGGCTCATTTTGTGTCACTCTCTCAAATTACAGTTATGACCATCTTGACCGTAACTGCTCAACTTTTAAAAATGAACACTTCAAAATATGGTAAACCCGACACACGACTATGAAAACTGCTGTATGAAAAGATATCTAACTAATAGGTTATGTTCAACATGTTTGCAGTAATAAATGTTTTCATTAATTGGTCTCAAGTTTAAGATGCCTTCATCTTATCGATGAGAGTGCAGCAAAAGTGTTATGAAAAGTATTTTATGACGATTCATCTTTCAGATAAGAGTAAGTTTTGTGAGTTGTCATTGTGTACTCGTGTACATGAATGTTGCGAACTACATAAATGGTACATGACACTGAGACTAATCACAGCACAGCTCTAATAACTAAATTCTTTAAAAAAAAAGAACAAATAAAATCACTGACACTTTTTACACTCTTGTGTTACCAATCGACTAATTAACAATTTTGCATTACACGCACAAAATAGCCACAGAATATGCAGTCTGCTCATAATGTCGGATCATTTTTCAGGCTGATTACTTCTGGCACGTGGAACACCGCAAAGAGCTCCTGTTATCTTTCGTAGTTCATTAATCTGGTCTTTTGGAACTTTCAACCTTCTCATACATCCTTTGAGAGTAAAGCACAACCTCTGGAATGCATTTGTTATACACCCTGTGCCAGCCGTGTTACTTTTCCTCCGCCATCATCTCGTTTACTTGCCACTAAGGAATTCCCTCATGTGCTTGTTGACTGCCTCCGGGGCATCCTGCTGCACCCAGTGGCTGGCTCCCGGCACGATCTTGATGGTCAAGTCCTGGACATACTTGCCTGTGCCGTCCAAGAGCTTCAGGGTCAGGGCCTTGTCTTGGTCACCCCAGATGATGAGGGTAGGGGTGGACATGGATGACTTGATGCCGACGCGGTAACGAAAAGCAGCTCGGTAGTAGTTGATCATCCCAGTCAGGCTACCTGGTGGTGAGAATGGAAAACGATTACCTCCACTGGGATTTGCCACTGGATGATGATTATGCAAATTGGTAACTTTTCAATAAATCATGGCGTAAGCGGCACCCCAGATAGTGCTAATATCAAATACCACAGTATGGGTGGTGACCAATGACAACAATACACTAATACGGGCAAATTTGTAACATTCTAGTTGCACTTGTTGACGGTATCCGTGAAAGTTAATTCAACAAAACTGTAGATCTTGTACCTTAAGGCAAAATTTCTGGGAACACAAACCTGAATATCACTCACTCATAAGGGTGATGACGGTAAAGATACTGATAATTTTGTAAACCTTCTCACAGGTTTCATAAAAGAGAGAGCATTGCTATTAAACCATTTTGCATATCCAAACCCTGTTTCGCCATTGAGCATCATGTGAGGTGACTGAAATGCATCTGCACATACACTGCATTTATACTACTTCAATAAATATCAAGTCAGCCATTCACACTGTTCTAGTCTCCATGTTGCCAGCATCCAGGGTGACTTAGGGACAGCAACCAGGGTACAATGTGGTTAGGATGTTCAAGGTCTGAGCCTAGCATATCGTATCGTGCTTGCACAGACCGGCTTCTTTTTCTCCCCAACTCTGGGGAAAAAATCTTCTTTTTTGTCTCCTTAGAGGTCAAAACCACCTCTGGGAGAATTGTGAATGAACAAGCCGGTAAACAAATGTACAAGAAATATGAATCAGCTAATCAAAAACGAGCAAGCAGCTGGATTTCCAAGCTGCACTCGTCTTTTTCCAGAGTAATTTTAATTTGTTAGGGCATACACGTACAGTACAGCCATACATGGAAAAGAGAGGGCAGTAGCTGATCCGGGTAAAAGTTACAATTCTAAAAAAAAAATTAAAGGTCTATTAAACAGTCTATTCATTGTTATTTGTGCATTAAGTTCGTTTGAGGCAACAACAGTGCTCAAAATGTAAAGACGGGTGCCTGACAACTAACCCTGGGGGGGGGGTTAGTTCAGGCTAACCCTGGGAGGGTTTAGTTCAGGCTAACCCTGGGGAGGGTTTAGTTGAGGCTAACCCCAGGGAAAGTTTTGTTCAAGCTTACCCTGGGGAGGGTTTAGTTCAGGCTAACCCTGGGGAGGGTTTAGTTCAGGCTAACCCCAGGGAAAGTTTAGTTCAAGCTAACCCTGGGGAGGGTTTAGTTCAGGCTAACCCTGGGGAGGGTTTAGTTGAGGCTAACCCCAGGGAAAGTTTTGTTCAAGCTTACCCCGGGGAGGGTTTAGTTCAAGCTAACCCTGGGGAGGGTTTAGTTCAGGCTAACCCTGGGGAGGGTTTAGTTCAGGCTAACCCCGGGGAAAGTTTAGTTCAAGCTAACCCTGGGGAGGGTTTAGTTCAGACTAACCCTGGGGAAAGTTTAGTTCAAGCTAACCCTGGGGAGGGTTTAGTTCAGGCTAAGCCCGGGGAGGGTTTAGTTCAGGCTAAGCCCAGGGAAACTTTAGTTCAAGCTAACCCTGGGGAGGGTTTAGTTCAGTGAATGCTGTACATTCTGAAATGAACAATATTCTAGGATTGTTGTTTCAAATTAACAGTTGGTGAGTCTTATTTTGAATAGTGCCTACTTTCAACCAAACAAATTTTCATTCAGCCAATTGTGGTTATGCAATGTTGCACGCACTGAACCGACGAGCTATAATAAGCGTCTGTGAGCGTGCGCCCTGTCACTGTTTGCTCCCACTTGAAAACAAACTGCTACTGGCAATTTCCAGGAAATGTGTCTTTAGACGCATCATCAGAAATTGCCTTCTTTCATTGTTTTCTCAAAAATAACAGCATACCAGAAAGCATAGTTTCACAAGGAGTTTAGTCCCATAACTGTCTTTAAACAACTTGTACTTTACAACGGTAATTTTGTCAGTTGCTTTTTCGATAGCTGCAAATGAAGGACTATACCTTTAAGCAATAACCTATGTCATATTTCATCTGAAATTTTGAATGTATAAACTTATCCACAAAGGCACTTTTAAATGAAATTTGATTTCACAGTTTGCATAACTTCAATCAAAAATACCTACTACCACTACTACCTAATGAATCACGTTATAGGAGTTTATGTCACAAAAGTAAATACAAACCCAGACAAAAGGCAAATAGTTATGACAGTGATATGATAAAGAAACACCTTTGCTCATGAAACCGACCCATACTCCTGGAGGTCAACATGATGACAGATTAAGTAAACATGACGCCGACTTGCATCACCTCCGTATTATTGAAAATCTTTCCAAACATCAGATTTGTAAAATCAAAGATGATTTCAAATGAGCCGGTCAGCAGGTTTTCCATTTCCAAAGAGTCCCATAAAGAGAGAGGAAAATGAAATAAAACTGGCAGATGTGGATCTCATTGTGCATGTTTGTGGAGATGCAGGTTCAGCTTTGTTAGTTTTTCCTCTGTGTTGCTGGAAAACAGGCTGGTTTCAGGTCAGCAAAATCAATCATATGGTTAATCTATTCATGTGTCAGTTACATGCACATGCACGTGGTTGCATTTTTCTATTTGGTTAATCAAAACCACTTTTCAGAGGGAACACTTCTTATATCCTAAATCTACAACGTTATACATATAGTATGGCACTTCTCTTTAAAAGCCGTGGGATGAACACACGTAGACTGGCCTATTTAGTTGGCAAGTGGGTGGCTAGACTTGGTGCCAAGTTGGTAGTTCATTCAGTTTGGTGCTCCACACATGACCCACACAGTATACATGTACATGTGTGTATACATGCATTTGCACAGGGACGCTGGTTGTCTTGTCCCCAACACGAGGATGACTGACTATTCAATTACCAACTTGGAGCCTTTTTCGGTTTTGAACATAACACATGAGAATCGCTAGTAGGTTTTACATGAGCACTCTGATTGGTCTCTCTAGAAAGAGATATTTCTATGAAGATATCTCTGTTAGAAATAAAGATATCTCTTTTTCACTATAAATTGTTAGCTTTGCAAGTATAGAAATAGAGGTATCTTTCTTTCAGGAATAAATGTTAACTTTGCACGCCATACAAGCTGGCTGTGCGCCACCTCAAGCAGTACATGCTGTGCGTGCACCAATCTCCATATAAGAAGATTGTTGATGACTACTCATGAGAGGAACATTCCATACCATGGCCAGGGGGGTATTTGAAAAAAAAAAAGTCAAATTGTTAAATAAAATCATGAGAAATTTATTATTTAAAGTTTGTTTTGACTTTGTGACTCAAAGGGTATTTATGACCAGCTTGACCAGTCTTAAGCATTCATTTAAGCATGTTAAGATTGGCAATGCTCAGGATAGAAGTTGATAATGTCCCTCGTCTTCAGCTTGGTCATTCTCAGCATACATTTTCCTTATTGGTCCTTAGACAAATGCTTAAGACTGACCAAACACATTTTTAATCCTCTGTTAAACTAATTTGAAATAATTGCCTGTGTAATATCTGTATAAAGACTCATTTCTCAGACGTGCTCCAGTACCTTATCAATACCATGACATTGTCAAGTGGAAAATCAATGGAAATCTGGACCGTAAACCAGCATTTGTGCTGAGTCATTTGAATTCTGTAACAACTATCGGCTGATGTCAATGTTTTAGCACTTGCTTTCGTTCATGCAGGTCAAAATGCTTACTGAATGAGTTCTACCCCTTGGTAGACTCTGAGCAGCACCATCGAGGTAAAACCCTTTGTTTAAAGGTTAAAAGAGCCAGAAAGACTGATGAGAAATGTGACCAGCGCATGTACCTTTCCGAGAGGCACTGTACTTGAATGCCTCGAGGTCTTCCTTGCTCATGTTCTCCTTGTTTTGGAGGCCCATTCCATCTCCCAGGAAGCAGCCAGAGATCAAACCATAGTCATTTATCCAGCCGTTCAGCTCTGGAAGGAATGGTAGCTGGAAGAAGAACATGTACCTAGTGGACAACAGGAGAACAGTTTTTATGTAAACAAAGGTGCCTGTCCTTCAAGCTGCATTCAAGGTTTTCAAGCCAATTTGATGTGATTCTCATTCTACAACTGTTGCATGTACATGTAACTTAAAAAACTTGTGCACTATCATGCAGCTTTGTGTGTGGCTATATTACAAGTACATGCTTTTTGCAGTGCAAGCCATGTGCTGGTTGAAATAGTTCACGTCACATGATCAGTAATTCACCAATCAGATGACTGGGATCTATTTGGGCATACCACATAATGGAATGATGATCCAAACCGAGTTGACTTCGCAGACATTAGTCTAGCCTCTTGCTGAGAATCACTTTGCCACTTTTTACCAGCGTCTCTAATCTTACCAGGAAGCCAGGAGTTGCTTCAAGTTGCCTCCTTCGACAGAGTCCGTGAAGCAGCGAGGGTGGGGTATGTTCATCACGATTAACTTGTCCACGATATCTGGATACGTAGCAGCCACATACCAAGCTACGAGTCCACCCCAGTCATGGGCCACCAGGGTGCAGGAATTGTAGCCCAAGCCAGACACCACCTCTTTTATGTCCTCTGCACATAGAAATGACAGCGGTTTCATTTCTGCCCCCAAAACCATTTAAAGGACTTCTGCCCAGAGCTTGCATGTATGGTCTAATAAGAAATCAACTGTCAGATGCAATCAATCACGGTGACATTAGCCAGGCTGTTCATCAGGACTTTAGTTTGTCCCTGTCCATTTGGCAGGCTCCAAGCTTTGATGAGTGAGCCTTGCCTACATGCACATCCCTCCTGAGAACGTCAACAATATTAAATCGCAGCTAACCAAAAGCTCTGTAATTATGAGTGGGTTCCCCAGAGGAAAAGCTGGCAGGTTGGTGTTAGGATAGTCTGATTCAGCCTTGAGCCACAAAGAATCCGTTTATTTACCAGAGTTCCTCACCTACTAGTTTCTTCAAAGAGTAGTTAGCAACACCACTTGGTATGTCTGAGTCACCGTAGCCCCGCTGATCAATCGCAACAACCCTGTGGTTGCATAAAAGTAGCAAGAAGTTAACTGACTACGAAATAAACTTTACCCTTATCTTTCCATCAACTTAACATAATGTTTGCACAACAAACATATACATGTACAAGCATAAAGTGAAAAGAGGTGTCTCACTTAACATTGACAAGATTGGGACAGTAATTTTTGCAGAAGGTGCATTTGAGTAAATAATGATGCACGATTCCTCTCAACTCCTAAAATTAGACCGTGATTAACCAAAGACCAATCCATTGCCCATTACAATGCTTTCACTGGTCATATGTAGTAGCCCCAATCGACGGCCAAAAGCGAAGGCTATACCGAACATCCCATCGATCATTAAATATTCAAATATTATTTTTGAATTTGAATATTCAAATGCAAAATTTATGAAAAGGGAGAATTTTCTTTTGTTTTAAATGAAAAAAATTGCACTATGGGAGGCTTGTTCCAAGCAGATTCAAACGAAAAGCGACCGAAACCTTACAATTTAAAAAGCACATTACTCATAAAAAATGTAAAAGGAATATACATTTTCAACAGGAAAAGAAGTATTATTCATCTCTTAACTCTTACTAAATTCATGGCTGGAGACACTCATAGATGTGAGAAGCTATTATATTGATCTTAATTTACAATTGTGTGTGTTCTTGCAACTGATTTTGTAAATGGTTTGTTCCACAACAATCTGCCGGTTGGTACAACCGAATATTTGGATACTTGATCCAACTGAAGGTCGAATATTTGAATAGTAAATTATTTGAATTGACCCAGCCCTATCAAAAGCACAGTGATAATATTGTACAGAGCCATGGTTCTGTGACAGTCGCTCTATACAAAACACCCAACATACCACTTCCCACAATTCAAGAAGACATTATGAATGTGAAGAAAAAAATGGCTGGATTCATCCACAAAATTGCATTTCACTGTTAGTCAATTCAGACAGTTGACATGGATGATATTCTATGATCAAGGGAAGCCTGCTGTGGGAATCCTACCTGTAGGTTTTCTTGAATTCGGTGATCTGGTAGCGCCAAGAGTACCAGCATTCCGGAAACCCATGCAGCATCAGCATCAAGGGTTTGGTCTCATCACCAGCCGAGACATAGTGCAGCCGGACATCCTGATCAAGGCAACACCACCAAAATAAGAGTAGTTGACAAGAAATGAAACCAGCCTGTGCCACACAGAATGAATGGCAGAGAAATGGGAAAGGGGGAACTGTGTAGATATGAGGCGGACATTGGAAATCATGGGTATACACGGAAACAAAGACAACATTAGGATTTGGCTTACAGAAACTGCAAGTGGATTGAAGCAAGATGTACATTATATGATTACTCAGTAACAGCATTGTCGAGGGGGGGCGCTTAAGGGCACACACCCTACACAAACAATCATCACACACCCCTTGTTTCGCCTCCCCCCTCCCGAATGGTGAAGAAAAAAAAAGATACTAAGAATATGCCGGGTCCGGCTACACTGCTGTCACTCAGCAGTGATGTCTCATTGGGCACAGTCAACGCAGAGTGTTAACACCAGTTGCTCACAAAGGGCATTCCACAGGAGTTTAAGTGTCGTCCC